CTAACATTGACTGTCTAGGTGGAAGCCAGACAGAATAGGAGAAATATCATGATAGTTTCCCATAGTGGCAAGCGCTGCGCAGATAATAAAACAAGATTCTGTCATTAGAAAAGGCTTGGAGACAGCTGCTATTGTAGACTAGAGGTCAGGGGAGTCCGCTCTGAGGAAATGACCTTTAAATAGAAACCAGAAAGATGGAGAGACAGTCATTCGAAGATTTGGGGAAAGGCCAGACGCGGTGGCTCACACCTGTAATCCCAGCAGTTTTGGAGGCTTTGGCAGGTGAATCACCTGAAGTCAGAAGTTCCAGACCAGCCTGGCCAACATGGTGAAACCCCATCTCTACTAAAAATACAAAAATTAGCTGGGTGTCGTGGTGGGTGCCTATAACCCCCAGCTACTCAGGAGGCTGAGGCAGAAGGATCGCTTGAACTCAGGAGGCAGAGGTTGCGGTGAGCTGAGATCACACTACTGCACTCCAACCTGGGCAGCAGACTGAGTGTCTGTCTCAAAAAAAATTGAGGGAAAGTGTGCCCCAAAAAGAACAGCAGGGGCAAAGGCTTGCAGGTAGGGGTGGGGGTAGCATGGAGGAGGCTTAGTGTGGTTGGAGTGGAATGGCCCTGGGGGAGAATGGGAGGAGGCTTTGTGGGCAGGGGCCATGCTACTTGGGCTATAGGGAGCCATGGGAGGATTTGGAGTTGGGGAGTGACATGGAGTTATGAGTTTAAAAGCTCCCCCTGGCTGCTTGGTAGAGAATGGCAGGGTAGGGGGTCCTGACAACCACAGGGAAACCAAAAAGTAGGGTGGCTACCATGGGCTCCATGGGTGACCAGGGGGAACTGTAACCACAGGGCCTGCCTCTGTGGAACTGGGAGTGGGTGGAGAGGAGCTTAGAAGCCACTGAGGCTTCCTCCATCCTTCCCCTCTCCTAATCTCCAGCCAAACAGTCGTCTGAGTCTCTCTCTCTTCCCTTCCTTCCAAACCCCATCACTTGTCCCTCCTGTTCCATTTCAGGCCTGGACATTCGATGTGAGCCCAGTGGCCTCTTTCTGAGCTTCTGAGAGGGAGTCAGGAAGGACTTGGTGAAGGTGACTAGGAGACAGGCTCTGTGTCCTTCTCAAAACCTGGTAACCTAACACAGGGAGGGGACACAGGCTAGGCCACAGTCCACCTAGGGGGTGACTCTTCCGCCAGCTCCAACCTCAGTGCCCTGCTTCCTCTTTCTGGGACGTGTCAACCACCTAAGTGCTCGCCTCAGTAAAGTCCTAGTGGTTAAAGTGAGGCTTGGATAAAATATGGGCCTCAGTTTCCCCTTCTCTAGGAGAGCTGCCTCTCCCTCTGTGAACGCCTTAACCTCCCCAGGCTTCAGAAGGTGAGAGCGCAGCGCCCCCAGTCTTCCTCTCAGGGAAGAAGAAAGATTGTTTGGTCAGTCCCTGGGATGCAAGGGCTGAACACATTTCATTTCATTTCGTTTTGTTTTGTTTTGAGACAGAGTCTCGCTCTGTCACCCAAGCTGGAGTACAGTGGCTGCAATCTCGGCTCACTGCAACCTCTGTCTCCCAGGTTCACGTGGTTTTCCTGCTTCAGTCCCCCGAGTAGCTGGGATTACAGGCGCACACCACCACGTCCGGCTAATTTTTTTTTTTGTATTTTGAATAGAGTGGGGAGTTTCACCATGTTGGTCAGGCTGGTCTCGAACTCATGACCTCAGGTGATGGGCCCGCCTTGGCTTCCCAGAGTGCTGGGATTACAGGAATGAGCTACCACGCCCCTCCTGAATATATTTCTTATTTCTCCAGGAAGCCACAGTAAATCTCTTGGCGAGCAGCAGAGGGGGCGGCTGCACTGCATAGTCTTCTTCCCAGGCCTGGAAAGGGACCTTGATTCTCACTTATGAACCCCAGGAGGGGCCCAGCAGGCCAGGGCAGCCTGGGGGCGTCTGGTCGGGGTGACCCAGCGGTCAGGCTGCGGTTCAAACTCCCCCTAGGGACGTCCACATAGCATTAACTCTATCCTTGGAAAGCCTGAGCTCCCGTCGCCTGTAAAGGACCCCATCAGTAGGGCTGGCCATAGAGCGCCCCCAACTGGACCAATCAGAGGCTGAAGATGGAAAGCACGGGCCAATAGGCAAATCGCTCAGTGCCCTTGGATTGAAAATGAGCCAATCAGGGCGTGGGCTGTTGCCGGCCCGTCAGCTGTGTGTGATCCCGCCGCAGCCTGGGCCCAAGCCTGCCTGGGACTGGCTGCAGTGTGCAGAGGGCATCAAGATGCCTGGGGCTCCGTCCAGCAAAGGAACAAGGGGCCTCTGTGTGGCTATCTGGGAGGGGCAGCAGTCCCCGGGGACGTGCACAAGCCCTTGTCTGTTCCCAAACTAGGACGGATGTCCCTCCGCCCTGGGGGAGCAGCTGCCTCTGTCCAGCCAGGGGTCAGGATGCCCCTTGGAGGGGGTGGCCAGGAACTGAGATGGCTGGGTGACTCCGGAAGCCTCCATCACTCCTGGGCTCAGGAGAACTGGCCTAACCAGACTTTTCTGGAACGGTACACACAGTCTTTGCCAGACGTGTTTCTAGGGACCTGGGGAGGACTCCCCCTACTCTCCCCGCTTCCTCCCGTTTGGCTACGGGCTGGAACTTCCTCTCCCTTCATAAAAGGCATACACTGCACTGGCTCCTCTGACACCCCGCTAACCCTACGCCCAAGCAGGGGGAAGGCCATGGTGTCTGCCTCTCATCCTCTCTGCCCAAGAGCGCCTCTCCCCACCCCCTCCCCCCACGGCTCAGTTTTCTTTGGTGGGTGGCGGTTCCGCCCCCTCCCCCCACGGCTCAGTTTTCCTTGGTGGGTGGCGGTGGGGGGGGATGGGAGGGGTTGGGGTGGAGGGATGGGAGGGGGTGGGGGGGTGACTCAGGCTTTCATGGAACAAATGCCTTACCCCCTCCCAGCAGGGCTGCACACCCCTCCACCACTCACATGACTTCAGCAAAGCTGCCCCATCCTCCCAGCCAGGACCTCCCAGATGGGGTCTCTCCCATCCTGACTCCCCCCACATCCCGCCTTCCTCACACCGGATGTGACTGCAGAGTGAGGACTCCACCCTGTTTGTTCCAGGGGCCTCACATCTGGATTTCATCCTGGCTGGGGAGGGGGTGCCAGCGCCCTGCCCATCCCCGCAGGACCTTCTGTCCCAGGGCAGAGCTAGATGGTGCTGATGAGAACAGGCTGTTGGAGATCTCATCTGGTTGGCTTACATCCCTTCCCTTTCCAATGGATTGGAGGAAAGAGGGGAGCTAGTAACATTCGGCGGTATTTGTTGAGTGCTTACTATGAGTTAAACATGCCTCATGCGTCATTTAAAAGGATTTTCCCATCACCCCTATGAAGTGGGCTTTCTTCTCTCCATTGCACGGATAAGGAGGTTCAGGCAGAGACAGCGTCTAGGAACTTGCCCAGTGTTTCAGAGGTGGAATGGGAGCAAACTCTGGATTGTCTCCAAGGTCTGTGTCCTTGAAGATGGTATGACCTCTGGGATGTTTGAACCTCAGGGCCGCCCTGGTGTCTCCCCAAGACCTTATCTTGGGAACACCCGTGGCCTTAAGACTTAGACCCAGCCTGAAATCCAGCGTTAGTGCGTGGTAATGAATGAGCAGGGCATGGAGCTATCAGTGGTGAGATTCTCCCTGACCCAGGTCAGCATGAGGCCGAAGGCGCCTGTGTGTTCCAGAGAAGAGACAAACCCTCCAGGCCCTGCCTAGGGCTTGCTCTCTGGGCAGGTGGGCAAGGTTTCTGGAAGTCCACATTATATTTTTCATGCTATTTGGGGGAGCTTCTGTCCCTTTGAAAGCGTGTAGCTACTCAAGAGGCTGAAGTAGGAGGATCACTTGAGCCCAGGAGTTGAGTCGACTGTGAGCTATGATCATGCCACTGCACTCCAGCCTGGGTGGCAGAGCAAGACTGTATCTCTAGAAAATAATAATGAAAATTAAAATAGGCAAGATGTCTTGGTTCATGCCTGTAATCTCATTGCTTTGAGAGGCCAAGGAGAATTGCTTGAGGCCAGGAGTTCAGGACCAGCCTGGACAACACAGTGAGACCCAATCTCTACAAAAAAAAAAAAAAAAATTAGCCAGGTGGCTGGGCCCGGTGGCTCACACTGGTAATCCCAGCACTTTGAGAGGCCGAGGCGGGCGGATCACGAGGTCAAAAATTCGAGACCATCCTGGCCAACATGGTGAAATCCCGTTTCTATTAAAAATAAAAAAAATTAGCTGGGTGTGGTGGTAGGTGCCTGTAATCCCAGCTACTGAGGAAGCTGAGGCAGGAGAATCACTTGAACCCAGGAGGAGGAGGTTGCAGTGAGCCAAGTGCGCCACAGCACTCCAGCCTGGGCAACAGAGCGAGACTCTGTCTCAAAAAAAAAAAATTAGCCAGGCATGGTGGCATGTGCTTGTAGCTGAAGCTGAGGTGGGAGGCTGAGGTGGGAGGATCACTTGAGCCCGGGAGTTCAAGGCTGCAGGGAATTATGATTACACCACTGCACTCCAGCCTGAGGCAGAGCAAGACCTTGTCTTTAAAATATAGATAAATAAAATAAATAAGAAAGAGTGTAGCCTAGGGCTTATAAGAGGCCGCAGAGCCGGCCTCTCTGGCCCTGCCGCTGGTTAAATTTGAGACTTTAGGAAAGTGAATTAACCTCTCTGGGTTTCCTGTCTGTAAACGGGGATGATGATGATTCTGAATTCATGTGGCCCTTCCTCGAAGAGTAACAGAGCAAGAAATTGAATCTCAGCGCATCCGAGGCCAGAGCCCAGGTAGCACCCATAGCTCTGACCTATTGTCTGTCTGTCTTCTCTGCAGTTCTGACAGCCCCATGGCCCCAGCAGGCCTCTGAGCCCCACCATGGGCAGCTTGTACTCGGAGTACCTGAACCCCAACAAGGTCCAGGAACACTATAATTATACCAAAGAGACGCTGGACACGCAGGAGACGACCTCCCGCCAGGTGGCCTCGGCCTTCATCGTCATCCTCTGTTGCGCCATCGTGGTGGAAAACCTTCTGGTACTCATTGCAGTGGCTCGAAACAGCAAGTTCCACTCGGCAATGTACCTGTTTCTGGGTAACCTGGCTGCCTCCGATCTGCTGGCAGGCGTGGCCTTCGTAGCCAATACCTTGCTCTCTGGCTCTGTCACGCTGAGGCTGACGCCCGTGCAGTGGTTTGCCCGGGAGGGCTCTGCCTTCATCACGCTGTCCGCCTCTGTCTTCAGCCTCCTGGCCATCGCCATCGAGCGCCACGTGGCCATTGCCAAGGTCAAGCTGTACGGCAGCGACAAGAGCTGCCGCATGCTCCTGCTCATCGGGGCCTCGTGGCTCATCTCTCTGGTCCTCGGTGGCCTGCCCATCCTTGGCTGGAACTGCCTGGGCCACCTTGAGGCCTGCTCCACTGTCCTGCCTCTCTACGCGAAGCATTATGTGCTGTGCGTGGTGACCATCTTCTCCATCATCCTGTTGGCCATCGTGGCGCTGTACGTGCGCATCTACTGCGTGGTCCGCTCAAGCCACGCTGACGTGGCTGGCCCGCAGACCCTGGCCCTGCTCAAGACGGTCACCATCGTGCTAGGTGTCTTTATCGTCTGCTGGCTGCCTGCCTTCAGCATCCTCCTTCTGGACTATGCCTGTCCCGTCCACTCCTGCCCGATCCTCTACAAAGCCCACTACTTTTTCGCCTTCGCCACCCTGAATTCGCTGCTCAACCCTGTCATCTACACGTGGCGCAGCCGGGACCTGCGTCGGGAGGTGCTTCGGCCGCTGCAGTGCTGGCGGCCGGGGGTGGGGGTGCAAGGACGGAGGCGGGACGGGACCCCGGGCCACCACCTCCTGCCACTCCGCAGCTCCAGCTCCCTGGAGAGGGGCATGCACATGCCCACGTCGCCCACGTTTCTGGAGGGCAACACGGTGGTCTGAGGTGGGGGTGGACCAACAACCAGGCCAAGGCAGAGGGGTTCATGGAGAGGCACTGGGTGACCCCAGACAGAGACGTGGGGCTGCCGAGCCAGATGCCCCCGCCCCACAGACCTGGGTGATGTTGCAAATATTTCACACCTGGAAAGGCCAGATAAGGCACTGACTAGTCAGTCACATAGCAGTGTTGCAGTGGGGTCCTGAGGGCCAGTCCGGTGACTGGTGTGACCCCTTTAGAACTGGATCCTGGGGAGTCCAGGGCAGGGGACCTGTGAAGAGCCAGGGTGAGGGCAGGCAGCATTTAAGGGGACTTCAGGGCAGGAGCGCTTTACTACTTGGTACAAAGGATTTTTTTTTTTTTTTTTTTTTTTT